GAACTTACCACCAAACATGACTTTAGATTAGAAATGCCCTGCAATTATTATATTAGAACACGGACCAAGCTGCCATCAGAGCAGTATTAAAGCAAAAGAGCATTTGTGAGACTAATGCAGTGGCTAGAAATGTGGCAAACATACAACACGGGGAAGAGGGGGGTAACCGAGTGGGCCCAAGCCACACTACTGTGGTGTCACCTGGGCTCAGGGGTGGAGGGCATGAGGCGTGGGGACAGTGGCCAGGCTAACTGACTGACCCATCCTTTCTTCTGTTCCCTGCAGCAGGACCAAGCACAAGCTGGGGACCCTCTAGCCCTGCAGCAGTGGCACCCCCAGCTGCCCAACCACCAAGGTGGTGGCTCCACCATCGGGACCAGCTCCTTCGGCGCCACATGCAGGCCATCAAGCGCGTCAAGGCGGCCATCACTCGAAGTGTGGAGACGGACCTGCAGTGGCGCCAGGAAGCCTGGGGCTCGTTCCAGGCCCAGTGCGTCCGCCTGGCAGATTCCATTGCGACCCTCACCGCACACATTGGCCATGTTATCCATTATGGCATGACCTTGCCCATGCACCCGCCATCCCTCCCCTAGCACTGCCTCTGCCCCCTCCTGCAATGGCCCCTCCTGCTCCTGTCCCTCCTGCCCACCTCCCTGTGCAGCCTGCCCCGACATGGCCTGCCCCCCATGTGCAGGACTGCCCCCGCAGGAGTGGTAGCAGGGACCACCCCTCCCAGGAGTAGCTCCTTCCCCTCCCAGTTCAAGGTCTCCTCCCCCTCGCATCCTAGATCTCCCCTCTCCCCATTGTAAATTAAAAAAAGACAAGTTTTTGTGTTCAAGAAAAACTGTGTTTGGTATTTAAGGGGGGAGGGGAGGGAGGGTAGAGGATGGGAGGGAGTTGTAAAGGGAGACCGAGGTGACCCTATTATGGGGCCTGGGAGAACATGTCCGTTAGGGCCTCCCGGATGTGCACCCCATCCTGGTGCGCCTGGCGGATGGCAGCTCTGTGGGGCTGTTCATAGGCCTGGCCCTTGGCTGCCATCCATGTGGGGAGGAAGGCCTCCCTACTCTGCTCTACAACATTGTGGAGCATGCAGCACGCGGCCACTACCTCCATGACATTCTGCTCACCCATCTCGAGACAGGTGAGCAAACACCAGAAGTGGGCTTTCAAGTGGCCGAAGGAGCACTCCACTTGATTGTGGGCCCGGTTGAGGTGGTCGTTGAACCGGGCCTGGTTCTGGTCCGGCCGCCCCGTGTAGAGCCGCATTAGCCAGGGCAGCAGGGGGTAGGCCGCATCCCCAATGACACAGATGGGCATAGGCACATCCCCGACAGTAAACTCCCACCGGGGGAAGTAGGTGCCCACCTCCAGCCTGCGAAACAGGCCGGAGTTCCATAGGATGCTGGCGGCATGAGTTGCATAGTATGCGGGAGTCATGTGCCCTGCCGGACCAGCCCGCATAAACGTCCACGAAGTAGCCACAGTGGTCCATGAGGGCCTGGAGAACAATCGAGCAGTACCCCTTCCTGTTCATAAAATGGGCTGCTCGATGCTCCAGGGCCCGGACGGGGATGTGGGTTGCATCCAGGGCTTTCCCACAGTTGGGGAACCCGAGGGAAGCGAAGCCGGCCACCGTAGCGTCCACATCGTGCAGGCGGATGACTCTCGGGAGCAGGATGTCATTGATGGCATGGACGACCTGCAGAAGGGTGCAGAGAAACACAGGGGAACACATCACATAAGGCAGTGTGAGTGTGTGCTCCCTTGGGCCCCCCCCATGATGCCCTCTGTGCTTATGCACACACACATACCAGTGCCCCCTCGCCACACGACCCTCCCCCCACCAGCAGGCCTGTGCAAGGGACGGCCCAAACCCCTGGGTGACCCAGCCTGGAGTTTTGGCTGCCCCTGGACATGGTGCGCAGTACCCTCCCCCCACCCCACTCCCCATGGGACTTACCTCCATCACGATGACACTGGATCTGCCCACCCTGAACTGGTGTGCCACTGATTGGTAGCTGTCAGGGGTGGCCAGCTTCCAGACTGCAATGGCAACCCTCTTGTTGACGGGGATGGGTGCCCGCAGCCGGGTGGTGGTTCTCTGGAGCACAGGGACGAGCCAGGCACATATCTCCAGGAACGTCTGCTTTCACATGCGAAAGTTCCGGAGCCATTGCTGGTCGTCCCATTGCCTCAGGACCAGCTGGTCCTACCAGTCCGTACTGGTGTCCAGTTTCCACAGTGGCCTCTCCACGCTGGGGTGGGGATGCCACAGGGACGCCATGGCCTCCCTGGTGAGGGAGTCCAAAGTGATCTGCACTGCCAGGTTCTGGAACAGGAGGGCACCAGCCTGGAGCACCAGCTGCAGTCATTCCAAAATGGCCGGAAGGGGCTAGAGAAGGCACATGGCCACCCCTGGCTCCATGGCAGAAAAAACAAGGGAGATGAAAAAAAAACAGGCAAAGGCACTAAGTGACAAAAGGCAGTGGTGACCAAAAAGGCAGAGGGCAACCACCAAAACTGCTACGGCTGTCAGTCCCTGGAAGAGGTCCTACAGCTCGCAGCAGGAGAGAAACGGCTGTCCATGGAGATCCCTTTAAGCACGTGTCTCAAAGGAGCTCCAGCCCCCGCTCCCGGAAAGGGCTGGTGCCCTTTTGCCCTCTTCAAAATGGTTCCGGGCTTCTGCTTTTGCGCAAAAGTGCATCTACATTGGAAAGACGCTTTTGCGCAAAAGTGCATCGTTATAACGATAATTCCGGGACCAATCTAGACGTGCTTTTGCGGAAATACTTTTAATGGAAAAACTTTTCCATTAAAAGTATTTCCGCAAAAGCACGTCTAGATTAGGAAGAAGACACTGTTATTTTGGATTGTCTTCATTCAGCTGTTGAATTAAGGAAGAAATTCCAGCAAATGAACAGAATGATAATGTCGTGCTGCATGAGCACATGGACACCAAATTAGGTTCTGGCTCACACAGTAGCCAAAATTCTGAAAGTAACCGATATCATATAAGCTATAAGTCAGAAAGCAGGTGCAATAGTAATACTCAACATGAACTTTAGCATTACATGGGGGAAATGCTGCATCCATGTGAGCAGTCTGATTCTTGAAAGCAAGCTCAGGCTGATCATATTCAGCCAAATATTTGGATGATAATGGATGTGAAAAATGAAGGCTATGGCTCAGTTACTGACAAATAGTCCATGGACATTTTGAGAGAACCATATTTGTACAGGTTCACAAGATCTGGGTGTGTTGTAAAAGTATCCAATACAAACAATTCAAATGTAGAATGTGATGTCAGGGTTTGAATATCTGGCCCTGCATCTGATGCAGGTCTGTATTTTTACTGCACAAGAACTGATCCCATAGTTTGGGATTCCAAAATATCTTACTGATCATAATTCTGAAGTAGCAGAACATGGGACTCCTTTTTATTAACAAGGGTTTCTACCAACCTACCATCCAACCCCCATTGTGTTTGGGATGTGAAACAGAGGGGAGAAATACAAGAGACACAATATGGATGTGGTAATATTTTTATTGGAATGAAGTATGGCATTGGTAATATGACATTCACGTGTCAATGTTCACATATTCAATATCTCTTTTTTTTTTTAAAAGCAAGTCATCTTATTTGTTATGTGAGATGGTCTCAGTGGGGAAGTGAGGGCAAACGATCCCCTTTAAATATGACCCTTGATAATATGTCTCACTTCCCCAATGGACAGGGTATTTAGGGTTTGTAGCAGGGGAGTACAGACAGTGCATGGCAGAGGAAGTGTTCTTTCTTCAGTAAGCCCCCCCTGCAGGGTAGATTTCTCTGTGCTGGGAATTTCTTCAGAACAATCAGAGATTCCTTTAGCAAAAGGAAGTTTTGCCTAATTTGGAGAGAGGCTTCCAATAGTCTGTGTCACACTCTGGATCAACACTCCCTATTGCCTACCCATCTCTAGTGCTGCCCTCTACCAGCTCAATGCTTTCCAAACCACTCCTTCTGCACGGCTTCTACTAGCAACTAGAAGGAGTGCCTGCTGGGGCACGGCCTGTTGGACTCTGGCTGCGGCCAGTGGCTGCACTCCAC